TTTGGTTGGTTTACAAATGGCCAAAGTGAAACTGATCCAACTTGGTTGAATTGGGAATTTTTTGAACCAAAGCCGACATAAAATACTAGAAAACCGACCAACTCGGGTCGAGTTGATCGGGTTGGTTGGTTTCATAAGTTTGATGAATAAACCTAACTGAAATTAATTATTGTTATTTTTGTATTTAAAAAATTTATTAAAAGTAGTATATAAAATATGAATAATTATTAATTATTTAAAAAGTTAAAAATATAAAAGAATAGTATATTCTTATGTGTTTCTATTATGGTCATTTACTAGAACACCTTATAGTTTTACATATTTACTTAAACCTACTTTATAATTCTCATTTTACTAAAATATCCCATATATTTTACAAATTATTTACTTAATCAACCTTTTATTAAGGAGTGTTTGTTTTGCCATTAGACCCATGATTTTTTCTTCCAAAAAATACCCTTAACACTTTTTTATACAAAAAATAAAATTGGCCAAATATAGCCAATAGAGTAGTTGTTCGTGTCTTATTAAGGGTAACATGGTATTTTTATTTCTATTTTTTTACTTAAATTTATTTAAATGAACATTAGGGTCAACACTGTCATTTTCCACTATCATCTAATGGAAGATTGTTTAAATCCATTACAAATTATAAGTAGTGTTTTAGTAAAATGCTAACTATATGGTAGATTTTTAGTAAATCCATAAAACTATAAGGGTATTTTAGTAAATGACATTTCTACTGTTTATCTTTTGCTTAATAAATCCCGTGTAGTGCATCACACGAGTCCCCGCTAGTATATACTTAATAGGCACCATTTTTTTCATAAATGCAACAACTACATAAAATAAAAAAGAATACCAATACATCTTTAATGGCCTAACAATTTCAATCTCCCTACGAAAATCTTCAACTTGTACATGTAAAACCTAAAGCCACTCTTCTAATGCTCTAACTTCATGCTTCAATTCAATCGATCATCCTTGAATACCTTAAGTCGGACCACCCTTTGGCTTTTGCATAATATGATCTGGGTCCTCAACCTCTCCATGAAATGTTATTGGGTTGCATCAAGAAAGAAAGTTGCACCCTTCATTCTTTGTATTTCTGTGACAATTAACAAGATACTCAATATTCAGTAATAGTAAATCCACCATATAAATTCCAAAGAAAAAAATGAACATATTCCTACATTTTACTGAAGAAAAAGCAAGGAAATTTAAACTCAACAACAATTAGGACTTATTTTAGCATGTTGCTAACCTTTCCATTTGTTACTTTGCATTGATATATATGGTACTGTTTTAACATTTTTCCTATAATATATCTCTTCCACTGCAAGAAAACTTCAACATTATTTGTGAGTTTGTATTATTTCATGTGGAAAATATCTTTGGCATTAAATTTGATTTACAACACAAAGCTTTTACACTAGTCTCCATACTAGAATGTAAACATTTTGTCTGAATCTTTTGGATTATAGTAGATAGAACACTAGTTTCCAAATTTGAGCAAAATGACTTAGGGAGCAAAAGTATCATCATTATTTTAATATTCGCTAGAAGTAGTTAAAGAAAAAAGAACAGCGAAAAGTAAATTAATCTATTTAAGAGGAAACCAAATGAAATGCCAAAACCAAGAAAAAATATAATATATAAAATAGAAAGAAGATGAAAGAAAAGAGACCACCATATGTCGTTTATAATAAATGTACAAATTAAGAAATCGTTGACAAAATATTCCTCAACATATTCAGGATCTGGGTATCAAAGTAATACATACACATTCAATTCATATGTTTACTATAAATTTCATTCTAATCTAATAATGAACACCAATCAGCAATAAAACAAGCAGGCAAAAAATTTCTTACAAATAAATGAGGAAACTAAATTAATCCAGTGAGTTGCGCAAGCTTGCATTTGAACAAATAAACCTTGAACAAACTGAAGTGAATTAGCTACAACCCAAAACGGGGAGTATTTAGATGCATTCAGGAAATCGATCCATGGAAAGAAAATAAGCAGCAATCTTTACGTTCAAACAAAATTTGGGAGTAAGAAAGTAGATGAAAAAGAGAAGTTGATTATGTCGGAGAAAGCTTGGGGGTCTACTGTGGAAGAAGAAGAAGAGGAGGAGACTGGAGGGAGATATACCTTGTTATGACCATTTGAAAATATCGGTGCAAGCTTTCTTGATTTTTAGTGAAGATGGCCTTACCGCCGGGGTTCACGATTCACAGTTCAGGGAGGAGGGTATAAGGGTTTTCAAAGGTTAATCGATTTCCTGGGGAAGAAAGAGACCTGTCGTTGGGGTTGGAAGTTGGAATAGGATTTAAATCTCATTTGGAGTCCAAGACTGCCGTTAATGAGTCCGCATAACGTTAGCAGTCAAACACTTGTTAACACGGGTTAGGCAGTTCAACTGACCTTAAACCAGCCATTAAATGACAATAGGTAAATAAACCACATTTTACATTCCCCCTAGATGCTTTTCCTCCCTCCACCGAACCCTACCCACACACCGGTGACCATACCACAACGAGTGACCCGAACCAGTGGCCATCAGTGGCGACAGCGAGAGCTCCATTAGTATGCTTCTGGCCGCCTCTTCTTCTTCTTCTTCTTCTTCTTCTTCTTACAAAGGGCTTTTTGTGTCAACAGAAACCACCCACCTGGGTTCTGGGTTGTCACTTGTCACAATAAACACTGACCAGTTCTGAATATCGGCACATACACCTGCAATCGTGATTGCTGAAATTCCAGTTGTTTTTTCAAGTTTGAATGCTTCATCCTTCAGCAGACAACTGAGCACGGGTTGCACTATTTCTGTCAATGAGACTGACTAACTATTGATCTGTAGCTTGAGATATTATAACTGCTCCATTTAACCGAGAAAAGGGCCAAAGATAAGATTGTCCTCAAATGGTGAGTGTGTTGCAGAGAGGAGCTTGGGTGGTTTGCCCAAATACTGTCATTTTGGCTGGTAGAAGGGCAGATGATTTGAGTAATGTCGTATTAAGTATCTCAGGAAGACCCACTAAGACTCGCTGTAAATCTGTAATTTGTACCAGCTAGCGAAAGTATTTGACAATATCAATGCTCAGCTGTCAAACTAACTGGATTTTTTTTTTTTTTTTGAGAAAACAAATTCACTCTGAATCACTGAATTGTATTTCCAGAGAAAAGGATTTGTTTCCTACCCTCTTCTACATTGACAAAAATGCAGACCAATGGAGACATTTCTTAATTTAAAGATTTAATTCATTGGTTTGATGACTAATTTCACAACTAAATATACTCTCCTTTTTTTTTTTTCATTTTCCCATTGTAACCCAACTGATGAACTGGTTATATGGTTACTGTAATCTGGATCCCTCTACGTTTAGGGCAATTTTCCTGCTTGAACAAATAGAAACCAAGGGTCCCATTACCCAAAATAAAGGGGGACATGATTTTCCTTTGAGAAGAACTGATAAATGTTGCTAGCAGATTTGTCAATTAACTCCTTGTATTTTCAGTTTTACTTGTATAAACTTAAGTTTAATTAGCTCAGTTTCTTTTTCCCTTCTCAAGTGCCCTGCTCTAGCTTGGCCTTCCATAGAGATCTTCATTGTATGAACTAAAGAATGCATCAGAGAGATCGATCTCATAGAACCCTTAGATCGGTGGAATCAACCCATGCAATTAGATTTCTCATCTGAGTATGGTTGTGCCGGTGATTGTCCAGGTGGGTGGTTGGTTTCTGTTAACACAAGAAGCCCCTTGTAAGAACAAGAAGAAGAAGATGAAGAGGAGGAGGAAGAGTCAGCCAGAAACATACCACCCTCGTGGTATGGTCACCAGTGTGTGGATAGGGTTCGGTGGAGGGAGGAAAAGCATGCAGGGGAAATGCAAAATGTGGTTTGGCTTCCTTTTATATACCTTTTGTCATTTTGTGGCCGATTTAAGTTTGGTTGAACCGTCGAACCAATATGTTAACGGGTGTTTAACTGTTAACGTTATACGTCCTTCCCCTGGTCGACGTGGTCGAACGTGATTCGTGGATTCACTCGATCTGGACTCTCGTTATTTTTTCAATTAAGAGGCTCGGCTGCTGCGTGGAGGCTTTTTATTGGTCCAGCAAAAGTGTTTCCGGCAGCTGTAGTTTCCATCCGAACCACCAGTCCATCACCCACAACTTTTCTCAATCGCTATATTCATCAAAAACCACAAATCACGATTAAGATTGTAAACTAGAGAAAGATCGCATTCGATCGAACAGCAAACAAGAACAAAATGTTGCAGTTTCGAGTTTTCTACTATTTACAAAAGTAAGCCATGAAATTTGAAAAGAGCTTAAAATCAAATACATCACCATCATCACAAGACCCACTTCACGACAAAACCATATAAACACCCCAAAAGAAGAAGAGAAGTTGCAGAGTGTGAGAGAGAGAGAGAGAGAGAGGTTGGTTAAAGAGCTCAACGCCTTTTCAATAAAGGAACCCATTTGCCCTTCTTCCACTCCTGATGAACCCTCAGCTGCGAAAAGGGGTAAGCAATCTCATCTGCAGTGTTGGAGAAGTAGACGTAGTACAGAGGACCTTCTATATGGGTTATCCTTCCGACCCACCAGCCATCGTTGTGGAAGGCGTCAACTTCGTCGAACACAGAGAAATCAGATACTTGAACGTCAGGAGGGGTGGGTCTCACTTCGGCTGCACGGATGATTTCTCTCAACGGCATCGACTCATCGCTTGTTAGCAGAGTCTGATACTGCACCAAGACTCGAGACTTCCCCACCGGCGAGATGACGGTCGCAGCGTAGTAGGAACCCAGAAAACCCTCTTCCGTGCTGCAAATCTCAACCGCATCGCCCCTGTGAAACGCCATTTTCTTGAGTGGAATGGCTTCAGTTCAGGGTCTTGAGCCTTGAGAAGAAACCCAAGAGTCCCAAGAACAAAAAACGATTCAGGAAACCTTTGGTTGACTGCTGCTCTGCAGGGAAGGTTAATAAATGAGACCATTTATTAACTCAGGGCCGAAGGTAAGACAGAGGTGTTATTAGTCGTTGGATTCTTGTAGTAAGTACCTCAACCAACGGTTAGATGTATTTCTCGGAATGCAAGATCCACTGGAACCATACAAGGTTTGCATTATTAGATTCCAATCTGACGTCCAAAGAAGCGTTTACACCAATTACTGGTTAGGACTTAGGACCGATGGATGTTAGCGGTTGAATCTGGGCTGGGCCTGGGTTTCGTTCTGGTCACATTGAGGTTTTCGCCCACCCATTAGCACCCACCCTTGAATTTGAATTCTGAAGTTCTGAACGAAAAGACTTATCTTTTTCAGTTTCTCTAGTTGCTTCCTTGGAATGTCAGTGCTTTCACATCGAAAAGAAACGAAGGAAAAGAGCGATGGAGATCGGAGAAGCCAGATAAGCTCTCCCTACTCCCTAGTTCCTAGTTCGTACTCATTGTTTTGCTTATCGGTTCTCGCTCTTTCCGAGGCAACGAGAACAAGAGCATTCATGATTTCTTCTCTCTCGTGACGTTTGAAGTTTGATCTGTAAATTGTGAACAATTCGGTCACCAAAGTAGGTAGCTTAAATAGCTCTCTCGACGCGGCAGCGACGTCCTCTCGACGGTGAACCATCTGGATCGTCCTCGTCTTGTTCCAAGTTCGACAAACCGGATAAATCAGATGGGAGAGAAGAAGACAAAGGTCTGAGCTGGGTGCTGCCCTTAGTTTTTCTGGGGATACTGAGATACATGAGCGCCACCTCCAACATCGTTCACAACTGCGACGAAGTTCTCAATTATTGGGAACCCCTTAATTTCCTTCTCTACAAATCTGGTTTCCAGACTTAGGAATACAGGTATCTCTTTCGGTCTATTTCATCAAGTATCTTGTTATTATATTTGATGTTGTGTGATCCGGGCACTTCTAGTTGGCAGTTGATTTAGATGGCAACGGACCGTACTGAGAAGAAGATGGTGAAGGATTCCTGGGAGATTTGTCCGATGGAAATACTCCAATGCTTAAGTTAGAACGCTTCTGAGAGCAATAAAGAGTGCAAAGAAGACTAAGAGTAGAGGTAGCGCTAGATCAATGAGAGTTCGAGGTTTACTCAAGATTAGACCTGTTCATGGGCCGGGTGGCCCGACGGGCCGGCCTGGCCCAGCCCGACCCCTAGACGGGCTTGGACATTTTTATAGGCCCGCGGGCTTAAATTCGGGCCAAAAAGCCTGGCCCGCAATAAATTCAAGCCGGGCTCGGGTTTTGTCAAAATAGCTCGGCCCGACCTAATATTAGACTTAAAGTGAGTAATGTGATTATGTCCATTTGAATAAATTTTTTGATTTAAGAATGTAAAACTGTGTTNTTAAATTCGGGCCAAAAAGCCTGGCCCGCAATAAATTCGAGCCGGGCTCGGGTTTTGTCAAAATAGCCCGGCCCGAGCTCGGCCTGACCCAACCTAATATTAAACTTAAAATTATTTATGTGATTATGTCTATTTGAATAATTTTTTTTTATTTAAGAATGTAAAATTGTGTTTTAAAATATAAAAGAAATGGAAAAATACCATCTTGTAGGCCCATTGTTCATTTAAATAGAAAAAAATACTTATCTGAAATTTTAATTCTAATTTGAATAGGGAAAATTGTTTTTTTTTTCAATTTGGTCGAGCTTCGGGCTTTTTACCAGGGCCGGGCTCGGGCCCAAGTTATAGGCCCGTTGGTCGGGCCGGGCTCGGGCTCGGGCCTAGTATATTTTCATTAGTGACAAGTGAAAGCCTGGCCCATGAACAGGTCTACTCAAGATTACATCAACATATGTTTAAGATACCTTTTACCCCTTCGACCATGGGGCTCTTAAATATGGGTGTTTTTTGTCAAATCGGGCGTAACCGCCACTGAACTTCTGTCACAATCGTTATTTACCAGGGCTGCGCAAGTAACCGTTGCAGAGTACTACCCAATCGAATGAGTGACACATCTCGAGAGGACAAACACGCCACCACCTGTCGAGAGACGTGGGTGCAGTCTGTCGGGTTGGTAGGGACTGCGCCGTCAGTCAGGAGACGTGGTGTAGTCTGACGGGTACGGTCTTGTCAAATAGAAGCTTCCTGAAAGCGTTACTTCGCTTAATAGCGAGTTGCCTTGTAGCGAGCTATTCCGTAGCGCGCTGCCTTGTAGCGAGCTATCCTGTTACGAGCTCCTAGGGGCACTTCGAGGCGATTCCTCTCAAGGTTGTCTTTGGGGTAGTTTTCCTGCCTAAGTACCAGAGCGAGCTGGGATAGACTTGTCTTGGAGCATTCCCCTTCAGTACGTCGGGGGTCCTCGAGCTCGTGCTGTAGCGAACTCATCCTGTGGCGAGCTGTAACGTAGCGAACTGTCCTGCGAGCTCGTTACTTAGTCGCAGCTAGGCCATTGTGTTGAGTTGTTACTTCTATTGAGTCATGTCCACATGTCATCTTCTCAAGGGGTTGGGTCAAATCGCCCTCCATCAATTGCCCCCCACTCCTCGGGCCAAGGGTTCTATTCTGGTGCGAGGAGTTCATGGAGTGTGACGGGTGGATTTGACCCAAAATTCAAACTTGATTGACTGATCGCATTAAATATGCGCGCAAAAGTCAGGGGGTCTCAAGACCTTTTGAATGCCAAAAGACGTGCCGAAGCGGCTCTCAATTCCGGAAGACGTGCAGCCGTCATTACCTTAATCATGGGAGACGTGCAGACAGTCACGTTTCAGCTTTAGGAGGCGTGCGGTCAGCTTGACTGTGAACCGTCAGATCCGTCTTAATCTGAGCCGTCGATTTAAGGGTACAATGGCTATAAATAGGAGGGCCCCAGGCCTCATTTCTTTTACGCTAACTTGCCTTGCTTTTGACTTATGAGGTCGCGTCTTCATCTAGCTGCCCGAGCTCTTCTTCTGTTCACACCATCTTTTCGGTTCATCTCTTCCCTGGTGAGTCTTATCATTTTGTTAGTATGTCTGGGTATCCGTACCACGTCTTTTCTCGGGGTGATGACCAAGATGACGCCCCTTCAAGCTCAGGGGGAGCTTGGGGGCAAGCTCTAGAAGCTCGGGAGGCTTCTGGCGAGACTACTTCTACCTCTCGGGGCAGGGAGCCAGATAGCTTTGGTCCTTCCTCCATGTTGATGGAGAGACTTAGGGCCTTGGTTCTCCAATTTAACCTCCCCAAAGACCTTGTCTATAGTCTCCCTTTCGATGACTATCCCTGGGAGCACAATCCTGATGAGATAGTAATCTTCCAGGAGCAGCTCATCGCTGGCCTCCGTCTTCCTCTGCATCCTTTGATAATGGAGGTTTTGAATCACTTCAACGTCACTGTTGACCAGCTTCACCCCAACTCCATCCGAAATGTAATTAAGACTATCTCTTTATTTTATGAGTATTGTCTTCCCCTTAACCTTGAACTCCTCTCCACCATTCTTTGCATTAAGAATGCTTCCCCCGGAGCGCCTCCAGAAAGGCGTTCATACTATTTTTCTCCCCGCCGTGGCTTTAAGCTCTTATACGAGCTGCCAAATAGGATCCCAGCCTGGAAGTGGGACTATTTTGTAATTCGCAACCCCGAGGGGTGGCCCTTCCCAACTCACTGGAGGGCCGCCATCAAGGATTCGGGGATCGACTTGGATCCCAAAGTTCGGGAAACGCTGCAATCCTGGGCAGCGGTTAGCTTCCTTTGCTCGGACTACTTAACCGAGAGCAAGCTCGTGCAGGCCGGCCTAAGCCCTAGTAGGTTGCCTTTTAGGTCGCGTAGTGTCTTGCAAGAAAATTTTTTTTGGACTAATGCCTTTGTGATTTTTGGCAGCTATCATGTCTGGTGTTGACGCACGCGCCTTCTATCTAGCAACCAGAAGCGCAAGGCAAAGAGGTCATGTCCTGACCGAGCTTCCACTTCTGGGGGTGTTGAGTTCGATACTGCTGATCCAGCCTTCGTTTCTCCACCACCTGAGGTACCCCCAGTCTCATTTGAGGGAGTTGCCACGGAAGGTGGCCTTGAAGAAGGTGAGCTTCCGGTGCAAGGGCAGTTCCCTCCACCTGAGCAATCCCACTCCCTCGCTTTCCCGTGGTTCCCTACCGGGAACTAGGAGAGTGTCACCGACTTCACCGTGGCTTAACGAAGGAGCCGAAAGGTGGTCTCCCACGAGGAGGTCGCCAGCTGGGGAGGGATGAACCCTAAGCAGCTCGCCAGGCTAGCCTCTACTCACTACATGGTGGTAAGTGACTACTTTTTCTTCTTTTCACTTCTTCTGTTTTTTTTCTTTTCTGACATCGACCTTTTGTTGGCAGGTGAACTCCACCATCCATGCCATGGCCCTCCAGACCAACATTCACTCCGGCGATGCTCTCGCTCAGAGGTCAACTGTGTAGAAGCTCCAGGGCGAGCTCGATCGGGCCCGAGGTGAAGCCCTTCAGGCTCGAAAGGGGAGCGAAGCCCAGGAACTGCTTGTCCGGGACCAAGAGGCACAGATCACCCGGCTATCCGAGGAGAGTGCTCGCTACCAGGAGGAGTCGTCAAGGGTGGCAGCGGAGAGGGAGCTTCTTCGCCAGCAGGTTTAAGACTTGGAGTCTGCACTTCAGGACCGAACTCGGAACTTCGACACCATGGTGGAGAACTAGCGGGCTAAGGCGGTGTGGGACTTCAATGACTCCCAGGAGTACCACGACCTCCAGGTGGAGTATGGCTCGAGCTCCTACTGCTCTGGATTTAAACTCTGCCGCTGGCTGGTCTGGAAGAAGTTGTCCAGGCTTAACCTCAACGGCATAACAATGAAGGGTCTGGATCCTGAGACGGCAGACCTAGTGGAGGAGGAGGAGCCTAACTCTCCAGAGGATGACGAGGATGTGGAGGCGGTGGATCCTTGAGGCCGGTGGCTCCTCTTCTGTTTTTTGTTTTCTCTGAATGGATTCTAGTGGTTCTTGGGTATTAGAACCCGGTTTTAAATATCT